AGGTAGAGAACCGTGTATGTGTAGTCCGCCAAGGGCGTACGCAGGTTTTCCAAAGGGGGTTCAAAAAATTATAACTTTGATTAAATAATGCACGATGCGTTTAAATAATAAATAAATAATGCAAAATGTACTAAACAAAAAAAAAATACTTTGGAAAATGTTAAATCGTTTTAATTAATTAATATTTCTTGACATGTGTACATACTTGTACGTTCACACATTAGTGTCTCACATTTTGCTTTGGATATTTTAATCGTTTGCACGCAACTACACGAGCAGCTGCTTGCATGTGTGTGTGTGTGTATGTATACTAAGTTGTCCACAACTGTGTGATATGCATTTTATGTTGTTTGCGCTGCCTGCATTTGTAAAGCGAAACCCGTAGTTCTATATTTTGAATGCAAAGTTATAGATTTAGTTACGTAGATTACATTACCCAAATTTCAATCGAAAAAGTGAATAAATATTAAAACCCCAATAATTCAAGCTCCAACACCAATTTTAAGAAACAGAGTATGCAGTTTTTTTTTGCATTCTTTTATAGATTTTAAAATCCAATTTTAAAGTTGATTGGAAGAAAAATGGGGATTTTTCAAACAAACTTTGGAGCTAATTTTCCCCCACTTGGAGCTCGAATTTACAAAAATCCCTTCATAGTGCTCACCTACACTATGATGGGCCACTATAATGAGCTCAAATTTCAACTTCCTAGCTCTTACCTTTTCTGCTGTGTTGCTGAGTGTTGATTGTGTTTCAATTTTTCCACCGAAAATCTCCATCATGCTCCAGGGAAAATGGTGAAAAACCAAGTATGTAGGATTTATACTCTGTACATGAAATGTTCAAGAGTATATTAGGTTTGCGGGAGCTGAAAATGTAGCAGGCAGAAGGAGGCGTGGCAGACCCCATAATGTATATATATTCTTGATCAGCATGACGAAACGAGTCGATCTAGCCCTGTCTGTCTGTCTGTCCGTATGAACACCTGGATCTCAGAGACTATAAGAGGTAGACACACCAAACTTTGCCTTATGTGTTCTTATATGTCAGTATGCCCAGTTTAGCCATAAATATATTTCATTCCCGATCATGCAAAACACCGCATAAAAAATTATGCGATGTTGATTATACTCATGGCTTTCTTATACTTAGATCAATGTAATCACAACAAGACTTTTCGCTGTCCTCTTCACTCATTTTTGTACCTATGCGGTTGGTGAATGCAAAGAAACTTGTGAGAGTAAAAAACACCACAAAATTTTGGCGATCAATTGAGTATTGGGTTCTCTCGCACTCGGCAATTTTTTTACTCAGTCGTTTTGAGTGTTCGCTCAGCACGATCAATTCAGCTGCGTTGCCTGCAGGACTTGTACTTACATAAGTATGATTTGCGGTGTTGACCTCGCATATTCAGTGCATGTATGTATGTATGTTTGTACTATGTATGTACATATGTACGTATAGTACATATGTATGTACTAATATGTATGTACTAATATGTGTGTACTAATATGTACATATGTACTAATATGTACATATCGACTAATATATATATATTAGTACGTACATACTATGTACTAATATTTTCATTTGTCTGTATATATTGCTAAAACATAAACAATGCAAAGTAAAAAAAGATTTTCACACAATCAAAAGGAATTATTTACTTCCTAATTTGCCGTACATAATGAGCAAAAATAAGAAAAACGCCGTTATACACATGCGTTGTACTTGGTCTTTGCTTCGCTTCGGTTTTCCTATGCGGTGTATGCAGTACTTGGTCTTTGCTTCACTAATCATCACATTGATTTTGTCAACTCTTCTCTCATCGTTTCTTGCGCACGCAATATTTGTATTGTGCGCGTATGAGTATAGGTACGATTGCAGAAAACGACAACAAGAATCTGTGATGAAGTACGAAAGTGATTCAGTCATAGCAATACAAAAATGCCTTTTAAGTCAGTGACTGAATAGACATTAAGTATACTTAGAGTCACAAAAATAGGCACTCATGCAGTTTTCTGATACATATACTAAGTTGTCCCCAACTGTGTGATATGCATTTTATGTTGTTTGTTCTGCCTGCATTTGTAAAGCAGGTATTTCTATATTTTTAAAATCCTTGAATGCCAAGTTGTAGATTTAGTTACGTAGATTACATTACCCAAATTTTAAATCGATCGGCGAAAATTTATAACACAAACTTTTCATTTGAAAAAGTGAATAAATATTAAAACCCCAATAATTCAAGGTCCAACACAAATTTCAAAAAACCGAGTATACAGTTTTTCTTTATAATTCTTTATAAGAGTATACAAACTAAGTTTAATCACAAGAATTTGTAGTTTTTTCATACAAACATTGGAGCTTGTTTAGCCTCTTTTGGGGCTCGAATTTCCCAAAATCCCTTCTTAGTGGGCACCTATACTAAGATGGGATACTGGATTTTAAATTTCAGCTTCCTAGCTCTTATCGTTTGGGCTTTGGGGTGTTGATTTTGTTTCAATTTTTCCAGGCAAAATGGTGAAAAATCAAGAATGCAGTGTTTTTTAATTCTTTTATAGATTACACAAGCCCAGTTTTTAGCCAATCAAATGAAAATTGCAGATTTTTCATACAATCTTTGGATCACTTCTTAGTGCTCACCTACACCATAAAACAGAACTTTTGTTAAATTTCAGCTTCCTAGCTCTTATCGTTTGGGCTGTGCGTTGATTGCACATAGCTTTTCGTGTCCCGATTTTTCCACGGGGAAATCCATATTATTCTGGCCCCAGACAAATATAAAATAACCAAGTATACAGTGTTTCTTGTATTCTTTATGAATATACAAACTAAGTTTAAAGTTAGTCGGATGAAAATTGTAGATTTTTCATACGAACGTTGGAGCCCGTTTTCCACCATTTGGAGTTCGAATTTTCCAAAATCTTCTTCTTCTTAGTGCGCACTTTCACTCTGAGACGGATCTTGAGTCCAAATTTCAGCTTCCTAGCTTTTACCGTTTGGGCTGTGCATTGATCACCAATCAATCAGTCAGTCAAGACAAACTGTTTGATATATATAGAGATAACGCAACGTTTTAAGATAGACTATGTGAAAAAAATGGGAATATTTATAAGAGCATATCCTAATTTTAAATTCAAATTTGTGTCTTTTCGTGCCTTCGTCAATACGATCAATACGAAAGAAAGGCTTTTGGAAAATTCGAGCTTCAAAGGGGGGGAAAACGAACTCACAAAATATTAGTTATAGGGGTCCTGTGTGTGTAACGAAATATTTTGGCAAGAAGAACAGTTGTGAAGAACAGAAAATGTTCATTTGAATACCTTAAATTCCTTCCTACTGGTAATTAATAAGGTGAAAATATATGTGTAGGTCATGCACACACAAACAAATACAATTTGAAACATTATATTGAGCGCTCATACGGATATACGGACATAGCTATATCGACTCGTGTCTCTAGCTCTTATAGTCTCTGAGATCCAGGTGTTCATACGGGCAGACAGACAGACATAGATCGACTCGTCTTGTCATGCTGAACGGGAATGTATGTATGTATATACTTTGTGTGGTCTGCCACGTTTCCTTCTGCTTGTTACAATGTTCCCCTCCTACACCTGTTAGATTTTTAACTTTGCCAAAACCTATTATTCCCTTGTACCTTTGAAATACAGTGTAATCATATGTTCATAGGATCAGGACTAGGAGAGTTTACATAGGAAGTTTTGTTAATGTGGGCTTTACGTAGGTATTTATTTTTATTGTTGGGCGATGCTAGATATCAAATTGAAATACATAAGCAAGTATTTTATATCATATAATTAAATATGTACATGTGTATGCACTTTACAAAAGCAAATCATGCAATAGTTGCATAGCCCAATTAAAAAGTTTAAAATCTCTGAAATCACATGTAGCTTGCGTTTTAAAACAGAGTAGAGTATTTTAGTTTTTAAAGACAAGTTTTCCGTAATACACATTGCGGAAAATATATAGGAAAATATGTAATTGAGTTTGGTATATTTGACACTCTGTGATTTCTTATATATAATTACCCACCAACTACTTTTTAAATATAATAGAAAAATCCGAATCTTGAGGAAAAATTTATTCATCCAGGGATATATTGTTGTTAAAAGTATCAAACAGATAAAGAATTTGAATATCTTGGAACAAATAATTAGATGTAGAATATTCTTCCAATACATGTATATAGAGATGCTTTTTTGTTTATTAACATTTAACTACTGTATTAAGGGATTGGTTGTCATACGAAAATATGCGACTACTAAGTTAACGACCAGGTTGATGTTTGTATAAATTGTAGTAACCTAACTTAAGCTTAACACATGATAGTTAATGGGGTGCGTCCAAAAATATACAAGTGGAGAAGCTAAAGACGGGTGTCCCGAATTGGAAATACTCTGCACATATGTGTAAAATAATTATAGAAAATGAAAAAAAAATTTTAAAAACGGGAAAAAAATGTCACGAAATTTTAACATTACACAATAACTTTAATCGGCTATACCTCCTTGGATATTTTACTACTACTGGAAATATTTGCAAGAATTACGGGAGCTCTTATAGTCCCCGAGATATAGATAGGTATACGAACGGCGTCTCCGTAACCCCCCATAGGCGGAAATGGGGGGCAGACAGGACTATATCGACTTGTCATGCTGATAAAAATGTATACATATGTATGTATACTTCGTTGGGTCTGCCACCCTTCCTTCTGTACAGAGTATAACAAGTAAATTTCAACTTAAAATGAAATCGCACTTCACACTTTTGCAGCTTTGTTTGGGTATTTACTAGAAATGTACTATTTGGGGAGATAAGTGTGAATTAATCAAAAAGTAAAAGTACATTGTACATTGACTACCAGCACCAACTGAATATGATAGTGTATGTAAACTTCGGCATTAGTTTTAATGTTCAATTTTTATACATTTACAAGTATATTTATTTGATAATCACAACTTTTATTTCAGTTACGAATTTGACGTCGACGTCTCGTGAAATGGATAGAGATAGCAATTTTAGTAAGAAATTAATTGTTAAATATCGGAAGGAGCACTATAACCTTACAGAGTTTATTGATAAGCATCCTGGCGGTGTAATTAAAGGTCTCAGAAATGCCGATATAACTGCCCGATTTTCAAAAGCTCATCCACATTCTGAAGCGGCAACGTATTTAATGAACGAGTACAAAATCTACGGTAAAACTCAAACGCACGGCCGAAACGAAGGAAAAAAAAAAGTTGATTTTTCCAAATCACCCCAGGAGATCAATAATCAATTTTCTGAGGACATGGAGGTGAGTTTTCTGAGTTTCTTCCAAAAAGAAAAGTTCCAAACTGATTAATTGCTTGGTACTTTATTTGTTATTTGCCACTTTAAAAAATATACAATGTGCTGTGACTAGCTGCAATAGAGGCATAATGTGTGTTTTTCTTCGGAATTATACATAACTACACCTATTATATTATTTATGTGATAGTTTTTACATTATTTATATGATAGTCAGTGAATAGTTACTTTTATGTATGTTTTGCTTTGGTGTGTGCTTAACATTAAACTAGGACTTTAAATCAGGCTTCAGTGATTTTGCCATTTTTTATGTAAATCTTTGGCTTAGAGTACAATCGTATCTCGTCCTCTACGCTAGTTAGCTCTTTGTCTATCTCAGCCCTGCGCGTGCGCACTCGCAGGGTCTGTGTGGTCATAGGCATATGATTAAGTTCGTTTATAAGCTTGTCAAAGCCTGCAAACGATAAAAACTGATATTATTATCACCGCATTGATTATGGATTTTGTGCACACTCACGCTGCTTGGCACTGTCCAAAAAGGCCAAGCGTTCTTGCTCGTTTAGAAGCACATGGCCACGTGGACAGTCAGGATCACGAGCTATTTCCCGCTTTACTGCTTCAGCTTTTTCACGCTTCTCCTTTTCTAAGTAGCGTGGGAGACGTACCTCGTCACGTGCTGCACGTTATATAGATAGAGTAAACAAAAATCTGGTGAAATATTTAATACTTACAGCCCAATTTATGTTGACGGCGCTTTAACTTGGTGATTACATTTGTGTTTATTGTGGAACGACTGCGTGCGCTTAAAGACGCCTCGTCCATTTCGAACCCGTCTTCATTGAAATCTTGTAGTCCCGACAAAGGCATAATTTCATTTGGGTCTTCGTCAAAAGTATGGACGCTACAATTTGTGTTTTTGGTCTTTGCGTCGTCATTTGCGCGTATCGGAAAAGGAAGTTCCTGTGATATTTCATCGCCATAATTTTGCCCATAGTAGTTTTGATCGTTGTCACGCATGCTCTGATACTGACCGTCGCTAATTATAGACTTGATATCAAAATTGCACCTGTCGAGAATTTAAAATTGAGTCCATTGACCAGAATTCTTTAAATTCATACCTACTTCTTTAGCGCGTTTGTTAGATATATTTCATCCATTATGTCGTCAGTTTGTATTCCAATATTAATTGAGTTCCGTTTACTTCCACAGGATTGACAACGTAAATCCTGATTATGTGTTGGCAGGGGTTCACAGTATTGTGGAGAGGGTTCAGAAGTGTCCCGATGATTTTGTTGGACAGATAGTTGAGCACGCCCCACGTCGCTGGTCACTTCACCGCAGTTACCCACCCCATTGGAGCGTTTGCCAATCAGTGACATGGCAATCTCCTTTTGCGACTTGCTTCGCAAAAAACATGTCTTATTTTGCACTGACGATTTTCCTGGATTTTCCGACTCGCGTTCTTCTTTCCTAGACTCACGTACATCGGGTGCGCCCCGTCGCATCCATTTTGGACGAACTGGTTCCCTGGCCGCGAGTTTTTCTGTTGTTGCTTTCTCCAGTGAACGCAAACTAAGCTTGTTTTCTTTTAGAAAGTTGCGTTCCTGAGTAACTCCTGCGAAAAGCAGAGGTTTTAATAGTATCAATGATGGACGTCACCATGGTGAGCATTTATGATGTTAATAACTTACGAGGCACCGAAAACATGCCCCTCAATGTCGGAATGGGGCGTAAAGTTGTGTTTGACATGTTTTTATCGCAATACAGTTCTTTGTGTTGACAACAATTTATAAAAAAAAAGCACAGGTAGTATATGTATATTGAGTATATTGTCGATCAGAAACAATTTCTGTATTAATTTAAATCACGAAATCTGAGTTATAACGAAATGCCGCACTGCCAGTGTTACAAAAGTAGGTAAATCCTACAAAACAATGACGCTGCCAACTTGCTAAATTAATACGGGTATTCTTGACACTGCACAGTGGTTTCTGTTTACAATTTTCAGATTAAATTTATAATTCCAGATTTTAAATATTAATTATTATTATAAACTTGTCATAATCAGGGGTGCCACAAAATCTCTTCCGCCCAAGTTTCGCCTTAAAACCCATTCTCGGTGCCACAGAAATCTCTTTTGGGAGGCTTCAAAAATCGGTTGTTTTGCCAAGAGATTTCATTAAAAACACTAACAAACACATTTTTCCTCATAAAAAAATCATTGGAATATAAACCCTATAGTTTTTCTGAACAATCTGCATCAAAAATATTTTGTGTATCCCATGTAAATATTATTAAATTAGCAAATTACTAAATCTATAGCTAAAACACTAGCATTCACACAGCATCCAAAACAACTGCCCCCTTGGCTCAAATAGAAAATTACATTTTTCGAACATCACTTTTTACTGACTCTTGTTTTGTGAGTCGAACGAAAATCAAAGATAAAAACATCGCTGGTTCGATGTAGTACAATAGCACAATATGAGACACTAATGTATGTATATACCAGCAGGTCTTGTACAGAAGCTGGGGAATAATTCAAGCTCCAAGACCAATTTCAAAAAACCGTATTCTTTTATTGATTTTAGAAACCACGTTTTAAGTCGATCGGTTCAAAAATGTGGATTTTTCAAACAAACTTTGGAGCTTGTTTTACCCCCTTGGAGCTCGAATTTTCCAAATTCCCTTATAATGCGCACCTACACTATGATATGATGTGGTACTTGACCCCAAAAAGAGAGAGCTTTCTCTTGAGTCTATCAGGCGCGTCTTTTTTGTGCTCCTCAATTTTATTTAATTTTTGGTTGTTCTTTTGGAACTTAAATTTATAATTGGGCATATAAAGCTTGCTTTTTGTATTCTCTACACTGTGTTGTGTTTGGTGTGATAACTTGTGCAGCGATAAGTATAAAAATTTATTATTTAATATTTTGGCTTCTGTTGCTGTGTTTGTTGTTAGTGCCTTATTACTTATTTTTTCTGCCTGCCGTTTTTCTGGCGTCTCCCTTCTGATCTTCAAGTTTGCGTGTGTGTTTCAGTTCATTTTTTCTTTTGCATCGCGCTCACTTAATTGTTGTTGTATCCCCGCTCTCACCAATTTGCATCAGAGCTTTCGCTTAGCGTCGCTCAGCGTAGTACTGTTGCTTTTTATTTCTGCCGTTTTTTTGTTTGTGCTTTGCGCTCGCGCACTTTATTTTGTGCTTTCTTTGTAATTAACCCTATAAAACTTGTGTGGTTAATATGTCGTGCTGCAAGAAGTCTTGCACATTTAAAGATGCTCTGGATTGTGACCAACTGCAGTTCATAGGCTGCTGGTTGTGTGACAATATGATGCATATTGCGTGTGCTGGTCTCAGTGGGAGGGACCATGATAAGATCATCGCCAAGCCCAAAAAAGGCTGCGGCGGTGTAAAATGGTCTTATCCTACGTGCATTGATATTCAATTTGATTTCTCGCGTATGTACAATAACGTGAGAAATCATTTTGTAAAGCTGCATAAGATGACTAAGCAGCTTGCGAGTGATTTCGACTCAGGAGCTAAGTTGCTTAGCAAGTATAAATTTGATTCTCCACCTAAAAAGAGGTTGGAGACTCAATTTTTGAATGTGCCTTCCGTCGCGCCCTCATTGTCGCCTCAATCGCTTGCTCCTCTCCCATTAACTCTTCAAAACAATGACTGCTCCCCAATGCTGCCTCCGTCAACCTCTCCAGGTATTCTGTTTGATACTTCCCCTTTACCCTCGCCGATAACTGTCTCAGCGACCCCTTTTTTTGTCCCACCCTCACGCAGTGAAGCAGCTGCGCCGTCTCATAAACCATCTGAGCCTGTTTCTCGCGTTCGTAAGGATCAATGCGAACTGTCCTCTGGTGTAACGGTCGATACTGCTTCTACCTCATCTGCATGCCCTCCTTCCCTTACAGTCGTAGCGCCTCGGAAAAAGTATTTGTTTCAAGGCTGTCTGCTGATACCAGCTGTGAGTCTATCGCAGCTTACATTGCTAGCAAATCTTCTGCTAGCGTTTCCATTTCTAAATTTAATTTTTCCGTGCCTCGAGAAATAGCTGCTTTTAAGATTAGTGTTCCGTTTGAAGCTTTTGAAACTATTTGCGACCCAAAATTTTGGCCACCGCATGAGTTCATGAGTTCAAACAGAAAAAACGCACTAATCCAATTCAGGTGTCTTTGCCAGTTAGTTCTTCAATACTGGCTACTAACAATGGTTCAAAAAACTAGAAATTTTTCCAAAATCTCTTAGTTTACAGTACCAAAACGTTAGAGGTATTGCATCTAAACTTAATGCTTTATATAGGGATAGTTTTTCGTTTGAATTTGACTTAATTGCATTATCAGAGACGTGGTTAAATCCTACTATATCTGACTTTGAAATTTTGTCTAATAACTTTATAATCTATAGACGGGATAGACCTGCTCGCTGTGGTGGTGGTGTACTGATTGCAGTTAAATCCACCATCCAGTCGGAAATTGTCCACGTTAATATTCCGGACGACCTGGAATTTATTTGCGTTAAGACAACATCTCCTTCTCGAGCGCTATATATCACCTGCTCCTATATTCCTCCTTCTTCTGATATTCAAGTTTATTTGCTCCATATCACTTGTATCAGAGAAGTATGTTCCCGCCTGCGTGATAATGACTTGGTGGTTATGGTGGGGGACTTTAATTTGCCAAACATTTCTTGGTCATTCTTTAATGATTCCCCTCACCTTATTCCTTCGTCACCGAATGACTTTTTAGATTGCCTTCTTGAACTCTCTTTTGTTCAAATTAATCCTATATACAATCACCTTCATAGATATCTCGATCTGGTTTTTGTTAATGATGTTAATAATGCTGTGGTTTCTAGATCTTCTCCATTAACACTGCCTGAAGATATCTATCATCCAACTCAAGAAATTAGTCTTCCCTTTTCTAGATATAGTGCAGGGTCTTCTGAGTGCAACATGCCTCGCAAATGCTTTCGTAATTGTGATTTTGTCATGCTTAAAAGTTTGATTTTAAATACTAACTGGTCTTTCTTATATAGCTCCACTGATATAGATGTTGCTTCAAAATTTTTTTATGACACCATGTATTCCATTTTCGATGTCTGTGTTCCCAATAGCTTGGCATCATCTTCTACTCTTAAACCTCCATGGTTTACGCGTAGACTTTCTAACTTAAAAAACATTAAATCGAGATGTTTTAAAAAGTTCAAAGAGTCTGGCTTATCTGATGACTTCCCCAAATATTCTATTGCAAAATCTAATTTTATTCTGTTAAACTCCCTGTGTTACACAAAATATATCGAGCGTTGCAAACTTCAATTTAAACATGACCCTAAGAAGTTCTACAACTTCGTAAATTCTAAACGGAAATCTTCGACTTTGCCATCGTCATTTTTTCTTGCGAATGACAATTCTGTTAATGATTCTGTAAGTGCTGAAATATTTGCAAAGTTTTTCCAGTCGACATACTCCTCCGAGTCTTTTAACGGCAATTCTTACCCATTCTGCATTATGCCTTCAAATTTCACTTTTGCTCCAATAATTACAGATTCTTGTATTTTGTCTAATATACAATCTGTAAAAGCTTCATTCTCTCCTGGGCCTGACAACATTCCTAGTTGTGTGCTCAAAGAGTATAGTACCTCCCTCTGCAAGCCGTTGCTTAAGCTTTTTAATCTGTCCCTTGAGAACGAAATCTTTCCTGCTTTTTAGAAAGAATCGTTTATTATACCACTCCACAAAAAGGGTTGTAAGTCAGACATTTCTAACTATAGGGGCATTGCCAAACTGTCTGCTATTCCTAAATTATTTGAAAAAATAATTACTTCCTCTTGACAGCATCATTGTAAGTCTGTAATCTCCCCTGCTCAGCATGGATTTTTTAAAAATCGGTCAACAACGACTAATTTGCTAGAATTTACATCTGTCATAAATGATGCATTCCTAGCAAAGATGCAAGCTGATGTTATATATACTGACTTCAGCAAAGCATTTGATTCTGTGAATCACGACCTCCTCCTCTGGAAGCTAACTTGTATGGGATATCCCTCAAACTGTTTGAAATGGATTTCCTCGTACCTAAAAAATAGGACACAGAAGGTACTACTCCGGTCGAATATTTCTAAACCTGTTATCGTAACTTCGGGCGTACCTCAAGGTAGTCATCTCGGCCCCCTATTATTCACTCTATTTATTAATGATCTTCCGTCTATCCTGCTGCACTCCCGTATACTAATGTAAGCCGATGATGTAAAGCTTAGCTCTTTATCAGTCTCGCCTGCATTATGATCTAAACTGTTTTCAACGGTGGTGCTTGGTCAACTACGTGAACCTTAAGTGTTCTAAATGCAAGTTTATGACTTTTCACCGGTCCAGACCACATCTAGGTACTTATGCGATTGACTATATACCATTGCAACGTATATCTACAGTTGAAGATCTTGGAGTTCTTTTTGATTCCAAATTGAATTTCAATCTTCACATCTCCACTATCGTTAACAAAGCTAATGGTGTTCTTGGTTTTATTAAACGATGGTCCAGAGAATTTAACGATCCCTATACTACCAAGCTACTTTACAGTTCTCTAGTACGACCAGTGCTAGAATACTGCTCATGTGTTTGGTGTCCTCAGTATAAACTGCATCAGGATCGCATTGAGTCAGTCCAGAAACCATTTCTTCTTTTTGCTCTTCGTGGTCTTAACTGGGATCCTAATCTGCGACTACCTTGCTACTCCAGTAGGCTTCTCCTTATTAACCTGCCCTCTTTGGCTCACCGTAGGATAGTTCTTGGTGTTCTGTTCCTCCACAAATTGATTGTTGGAAATGTTGATTCCTCTATGCTTTTAGGTCGTATTAATTTTTCTGTTCCTTCCAGGCCAACAATGAACTTTTTGCCTCTTCTACTTAACAGATGCACTAGTGATTACGCCATGCACAACCCTTTTCGAGTATTATGCTCTAATTATAATTCTTTTTACTTTTTAATCTCTAGTGAGCTCTCTCTCCCCTCACTAAAAGCTTATATTTTCAGCTACCTCCGGCAGAATCACTGATCACCACTGCTGTGAGTAGGGGCATAGCTTGCCGGATTGGCTAATAAATTTTCCCCCAACGGGTCAGTGATTCTTCACCTTTAGCTTTTAATTATATTTTATCTCTTATTATTTAAGTTTTTTTTTTTTATCTTCTATTGCTATTTTTTCATCTCCATTCCTTTTTTTGTAATAACTTATCTGACTACCCTCTGCTGTGAATCGGGGCATAGCTGGCCGTTTGGCAAATAAAATTCGTTATTATATATTTGTGTCATTTTTATAGGCTTTTTATTCCTATAGCTTTATTTTAGTTTAAGTTCTCTCTTGTATTGATTTTTTGTTTTCTTTTTCTTTTACATCGACTGCATTGTTTGTCGATGAAATAAATAAATAAATAAATACATTTCGGCTTTCTAGCTATTATTGTATTGTGGGCTGTTGACGCGATTTCCTTGTGTGCCTCAAGAAAGCCCCAATAATTCAGTATCCAAGAAAAAAAAGTAAAAAACCGAGTATGCAGTTTTATTTGTATTATTTGCCAATCAGTCAGTCAGGACAAACTGTTTTATATATAGAGAGATTTGGTCAACTTATTCAACTGCACAACATTTAATTGAGCATACACACATACATATGTATGTATGTACCTTAATTATCATAATTATTTCTTCTACTCTTTTATGAAAAGTTACAAAAATACTATGCAGTGTATCTTGAGTATATAAACCTTTCTTTCTTTGAGTATACAAACCAAGTCAAAAGTTAATTGAAGTTATAATTTTTATAGCCTGTACCCAACGGGTGAAAGGCTGTTCTAGTTTTGTGCGAATGTATGTAACAGGCAAAAGGAGGCGTGGCAGACTCCACAAATTATATATTTTCTTGATCAGGGTGACAAGCCGAGTCGATATAGCCATGTCCGTCTGTCCATCCGTCTGTCCGCCTGTATGAGCGCAAGGATCTCAGAAGGTACAAGAGCTAGAATAACCAAACTTGGTATTCAAGTTCCCATAAGCCCTAGGCAGGTCAAGTTTATTTTTTATTCTGATGCGCTGCCTGCAGCTCTGCCCTCAGCTGTTGTTGTTTTTGCTGTTTTGTTTCAACTTTGTGCTGCATACATACACGCATATAAACACGCATAGACATGTGATTTATATGCGTGTATGTATTAAATAAATTTTCTTTATTAATTTAATTAATTAATTCAATTTTTTTTAAAAACTTTAATTTTTTTTTTTTTTTAATTTTCCTTTTTTGTGGAGAGTACAGGCTATTTTATTGTCGGGCTTGCTCGACTGTAGCGTTCTCTCTTGTTTTTAATAATTTAATTTTTTTAATTTTCCTTTTTGTGGAGAGTACAGGCTATTTTACTGTCGGGCTTGCTCGACTGTAGCGTTCACTCTTGTTTGTTTGTACCATAAGCAATAAAACTGCAAACCCAAAATTTTTTTACTGGCACAAGTACGTTTTTAAACTTACAAAAATATGAGACACATACATTGGAACAAAATTTAAATGAAATGGTCGATGGTTGTTCCAACAGGACATCAACCCAAAACAACGGATTACGTTGTCAGGGTTTGGTTGCTCTACAATGCACCACGTCAATTGAATATTCCACCGTAAAGCCTTGATTTGAACAATATTGAACACACATGGGACCTTTTAGACCGGGAAATATGGGGAAATATCCAGTGCGTGAAGCTTGAAGGAAGTGCTGTAGTACTGCGAAATCTGGTGGAGTCAATGCCGAAACGTCTTCAGACCGCCATTAAAGCTAGTGGAGGTCCTACCAAATTAAAAAAATTAAAATAAATATTATGTGGGGGTCAAGTGCTTTAAATCTCAGAATTTTTACGAATTCTCACGAATTTTTACGTCATACGTACACTTTTGTAAAGGAAAAAATATGGGGGTTCGTGTATATCTTTGTAACGACACATCATAAGTTTATGATTTTTCGTTTTCTCCAATAAGAACAGATAAGCTACGAAACTGCATCATTAGTTTTTTAATAAATATCTTTAGTTCGGCCAGGTAGCAAAATATTGGATCGTATGTAGACTTTTGGCGCCCACTGTATAATTATTTTACTGAGATACTACAAACATCACATAAATTGCCAGTAAAAATGTGTATTCTTATCTTCTTCTTTTTTCAGTACCTAGTAGATTGGTCAAAAGCAATGCTTCCTCAAATTGCAAACATAACCAAATATTATAATGATTGGGTACACAAGCCAGTTGATAGACCTCTGTTGTTATTCGATTCTTGGTACTTGGAAATGTTTACTAAAACCCCATGGTGGCTTGTGCCTACATTTTGGATTCCAGTTATTGCTAACTTGTTATGGATAGATTTTGAGAAAAACTCAGATAGTAAATTTGAAGTAAGTAAAAATTATCTTTGATTAAAATACGTTATACCTATTAATTATTTTGCAGATTGCATATTTTTTCGGAAACGTTTTTGTTGGAATATTTTTTTGGACTTTACTCGAATATGCTTTACATCGTTGGATTTTTCATATTAAAATATCGTGTGACAGTAGCGCGTGGCTCTGTACTTTTCATTTTCTTATACATGGTCTTCATCACAAGGTGCCGTTCGATCCGATGCGGCTAGTTTTCCCTCCACTACCGGGCGTTATTTTAGTTAATATTATTTATTTCCCAATAAGTTATGTAATTCCTCGTCCACGTGTCATACTAGTGGGTGCTTTGATAGGTTACTTATCTTATGATATGATACATTATTATCTACACTATGGAAATCCAAAAGCGAAACATCTTTATAACATGAAACGATATCATTACCAACACCATTTTGTACACCAAAATTTGGGCTATGGCATTAGCAGTACACTATGGGATGTCGTTTTCAAGACATGCATTAACTTGCGAAAACTGACATATCGACTAAATTGGACTTAAAAGTTGATTTCTAGATACTCATATATATTATGATCAAATTTTTAGGTTTAAGGATTTACATTTTGGATATGCTGTTGAAATAAAATGCTTATTGGTTCTAATTACGTTTTTTGCATACCAGCAAACTGATCATGTAAGCTCAGTTTATGTCAATGTAAGAAACAAAGAAACTTGGTCAAATGATTTTAAAGATGTGGAGATGGTACTCTGAACCTACGAGTATGTGTACAACATTTATAGAAATTTTAAAAATTAAGAAAATTTAAAAAAACAACGGATATCTATTATACTTCCTTGTTTATTCGAATTTACCTAAAAGGTGTACAAGCATGTGGACAGTGAAGAGTTAAGCCAAAGCAGCAATAATAATGAAGCTGCGGGCAGAGATTATATTTAGGACTACAATGTGTGTTCCAAAGTAAACAGAACTTAAAAAAAAACTGAACAAATGGTTTTTTCGGCAAAATCAATTTATTTTATTCAAAATAGTCTCCTTCTGCTTCAATACAGCTTTTTGCACGATCCAAAAGCATGTCGAACGAGTGTTTTAACTCGTTGGCCGGTATGGCCGCTAGTTTGCCGGTGCAAGCCTTTTGAATGGCCTCTACGTCTGCATAACGCTTTCCTTTCATGGGCAAATGCATTTTTCCGAAAAGGTAGAAGTCGCACGGTGCCATATCAGGTGAATAAGGCGAGTGGTTAATGGTTAAAAAGTGATTTTTGAGATATTTGAGACGACGATCAATGCTTGACTGCTTAAACGGCTGCTGCACACGTCTGAACGATGACTACTGACTTCTGAACTGCAACTAACTCCATTCTTCTGCTGACATCTATTTAAACGGCTAACTGCTGAGTGGTAGGGGATGCCAATTCAGTCCATTAGGACCACATACATTCTTACGTTCGGCCATTTTGATTTAATCATCGGCCTCTGATGACCAATTCTCCTGCTCGTTCCCTACGTACTTCCAAAGTTTAATGTTGTCTTCACTTAAGGCTGTATTGCTCGATCCCTCGACGTTTGCAGTTTTGCGAACATCATACCGACCATTACGTTTGACCTTTGTTATTTCGTAGAGCCTAAGATATTGACTTGCCATCTTCTTCCCTGTTGTGAATTGTGTGCGCCGGACGGCAACCAAATCACCAACTTTATAGCCATATTCTTTTTTGTGACCATTGTCAAACTGCTTTTTGTAAGAAGCTTGAGCTCGACGTATATCTTCTTTGGCTTTTTCCTGAATCTGCTGCCTTTCATCGTCAAACTTCTCATACGTCTCCCTTTCGAGTAACTCTTTGATACGGGCCTCGATGGTAAATCCATAGTTCATTTTGACACCAAACAACAACTCGAACGCCATACCTCTTTCCTCTTTATGGAAACGTGTATTGTGCAGCTTATTGCACCAGTGGTACGTATTTGTACCATTTAGTCGGCTCATCAGAGGACAGCTTCGAAATGGTAGATAAAACCGAACGGTTGACGCGTTCTATTTGGCCATTGACTCTAGGTACACCATTAGTACTCCAAATGTTCTCTATCCCGTTCTCTTTTACGTAGTCTTCAAACTTCAAACTTGTACAACTTCACGGTGGCGTCCATAGGCCCACGATGATCGATGTGAAGTGTATTCAACGGTAGAATTCCTTTATCAATATGGTATAAGAAACCTTCCTTCTTTCCGGTTTTCTTATTGTGTATTATTCATTTTACGCAGTTGGAAATTAGATTTGAAACCTTGCTTTCCAATTGCGGGACCCAAAAATTCTGCTGAATGGCGTGCATCGTCTTCTGAACTGCAAAGTGGTCTATATTGTGAGCATCGACGATGATCTCCTTCTCCATTTTTTCGGCACCACCAGAAGATCGACGCCTTTGACAGCTTTAAACAAAAGCCCTCCTTTTTCGTACGGCCGACTTTTGAGAAATTCACAAACGGCTTTAGTCATTGTGTTATTCGTTCGCCAGGGCGGTGCACTACGTCAATTCGAAGTCCTGTAACTAGACGATCCATTGCGCTACCTCTCGAGGCATATCCTTTTTAGTCAGCGTGCTTTTAAAAGCCGAACAGTCAGTAATTATCTTAAATGGGATACCCAGTATGTAGTGTCGAAACACAGCCTTTGCTTCCTGAACTACTTGTATGCTGAAGCGCTTCTGCTTCTGTGGCCTTCTTGCTCCAATAGAAAACTGGGTGTAGTTGTCCCTCAAACCATTGTAAGAGTGCAGCCGCAAAGCCATCTTTGGAAGCATCCGTAAGTACCTCTGCTTTGGCTTCTCTGCTATAAATTTGTAGTACTGGCTCGTTGATGCAGACAAGAATGACCATCCGGCAGGCGCCCAATACACCTCGCTGTGCCAGGTGCAGTGTCGGCGCATCTATGCAACATCAGCGCGCCATGCATCCTTACGATGAGATGCCATATGCCTGCGGCAAGTGTATCTTTAAGTTGCCAAGGTAAGTAGCTTTACCCCAGACATGGGGTAAAGTTATTAATATTATTCCTATTCAAGTTGTTGTTGTTTGCTTGCAGCCCCTGTTGGAACGTCACGAACGCAGTTAATGCCTTAATGTGGATAAGCAACTCAACTGTGCGTTGTGTACTTATACTTACTTGTGCTTGTACTTATACTTGTAGTTATACTTGTACTTATACTTGTACTTATTCTTGTACTTATACTTGTACTTATACTTGTACTTATACTTGTACTTATACTTGTACTTATACTTGTACTTATACTTGTACTTATACTTGTACTTATACTTGTACTTATTCTTGCACTTATACTTGTACTTGTACTTATATTTATACTTATACAGTCAATGCCTTAATGTAGATAAGCAACTCAACTGTGCGTTGTGTACTTATACTTACTTATACTTGCACTTGTACTTGTACTGGTACTTGTACTGGTACTTGTACTTATACTTGTACTTATACTTGTACTTATACTTGTACTTATACTTGTACTTATTCTGGTACTTATACTTGTACTTATACTTGTATTTATACATGTACTTATACTTGTACTTATACTTATACTTGTACTTATTCTTGTACTTATACTTGTACTTATACTTGTCCTTATACTTGTACTGATACTTGTACTTATATGTACTTGTACTTATACTTGTTCTTATACTTATATTTATACTTATACAGTCAATGCCTTAATGTAGATAAGCAACTCAACTGTGCGTTGTGTACTTTTACTTGTACTTGTACTTGTACTTATACTTATACTTGTACTTATACTTGTACTTATACTTGTACTTATACTTGTACTTGTACTTATACTTATACTTGTACTTATACTTGTACTTATACTTGTACTTATACTTGTACTTATACTTGTACTTATACTTGTACCTACACTTGTACTTATTCTTGTACTTATACTTGTACTTATATTTATACTTATACAGTCAATGCCTTAATGTAGATAGGCAACTCAACTGTGCGTTGTGTACTTATACTTGTACTTGTACTGGTACTTGTACTTGTACTTATGCTTATACTTGTACTTATATGTACTTATACTTATACTTATATTTATACCTATACAGTCAATGCCTTAATGTAGATAAGCAACTCAACCGTGCGTTGTGTACTTATACATGTACTTTTACTGGTACTTGTACTTATACTTATACCTCTGCAACTGAACTTCTACTCCAGCCCCTGCTGTACCTTTTGCCAAAAATAATTGGTCTACCTAATCGAAGGAAAACATTGAAATTAACTTTGACAATTGGCCAGCTATGCCCCGATTCACAGCCATATATGGTCAGAGACATTAAAGACCCAAAAAACTATACAAAAAGTAAAGGTGAAAAATTAATTCTATTTAAGAACTAATTAGATAAAGCACGAAGTAGAACGAGAAAGAGAAAAAGAAAGAAGGAAAGAAGGAAAGAGAGACAGTGAAACAGAAAAAGAGAAAGGTGGAAAGAGAGACGAAAAGAAAAAGAAAAGGAGGGAAATCTCCAACCCGGTGGGGGATATTTTAAATGCCAGTCCGGCAAGCTATGCCCCAACTCACAGCAGTAAGTGGTCAGAGATTTCCCCGAAGATAATTATAAAGAATAGATTTGATAGAACAGAGAGAGAGAGAGCCCTGTCGAAAGTAAATGTGAAAGATCATTATAATGTCTGCACATGGCCCGAAAACAATTTGCAAAGCGTAATCAGTTGTGCATCTTGCCAATATGAACGGCAAATAATTCCTTGTTGGTCTACAAGGAACTGAAAAATTAAGGCGACCTAAGAGGGCAGAGAAGTCAACATCACCAATAACCAACTTGTGGAGAAAAACTACTCCAAGAACCGTCCTAAGGAAGGAAGGTTTATAAGCATCAGTCTACTAGAGTACGATGGCAAGCAGAGATTGGTATCCCAGCTTAAACCACGTAGAGCAAAAAGAAGGAATTGCTTCTGAACAGACTCAATACTTTCCTGATGATTCTCTACTGCGAAGACCAAACGCATGAGCAGTATTCAAGTACAGGGCGTACTAGAGCAGTGTAAAGAAGCTTAGTGGTATAAGGGTCATTAAATTCCTTGGACCAACGTTTAATGAATCCAAGTAATCCCTTGGCCTTATTGACAATACTAGATATGTGAAGGTTAAAGTTCAATTTGGAATCAAAAATAACCCTAAGGTCTTCAACAGTCGATATACGTTGCAATGGCACATTGTCAATCGTATACGTCCCTAAATGAGGCAAGGTTCGGTGAAATGTCATGAACTTACATTTAGAGCAATTGAGGTGCAAGTGGTTAGCTAAGCACCAAGATTGCTTTCACTTCAGATCATCCTGCAGGCGAAAACACAAACACAAAAAAGCGGAGAGAAATCCTATACGACTTAGCTTAAAGAGCAGAAGATCAAGGTTCACAGAGTCAAATGCTTTACTGAAGTCAGTGTAAACGACATCAGTCTGCATTTTTAGAGTAAATGCTTCATTTACCAATGAAGTAAATTCCAGCAAATTGGTCGTAGTAGACCGTCTCTTTATGAAACCATGTTGAGCTGGAGATATGACAGATTTACAGAGGTGCTGCAAACTATTTTTTTTAATCATTTCGGTATGGC